AGACAAGGACAAGGGCTGGCGAAGAAGTGAAAGATGCTGGAGAGGGGACTGTGGTTTGCCCTTTACCCTGGCTGTCCTGGATCTCGCTCTGTAGACCAGGCTGGTCTCAAACGCACAGAGATCCACCTGCCTCTGCCTCCCGAGTGCTGGCATTAAAGACATGCGCCACCATGCCTGCCTTTTTCTGAGCAATATTTTAATAGATTTTTTTTTAATAGTAGTTTTAGGTCCAAAGTAGAATTCGCCTGAAGACACAGAGATCTCCTTCCTCATCCCACAATTCAACTCACCCCACTGTCCATTGTTTATGTTTTTTAGGATGGTTAATGTGCCTTAATCACCCAGGGCCCGTGGATTATGTAAGGTCTGCTTTTTTTAAAGACATATTTTTTATTTTATGTGTTTGAGTATTTTGTCTGCATGTGTGTGTTTGCATGGTGCCTGGAATTGAGGGGGCTCAGAAGAAGGTGTTGAATCTCCTGAAATTGGAGTTACAGATGGTTGTGTGCCACCCTGTAGGTGCTGGGAACCAAATCTGGGTCCTCTACAAGAGGTCTGAAAGATGGCTGAGCCCCATGGAAAGATTGATTCTGACTCCATTATTTCATTCTTGTTTAATTTTTCTCAACAATTTTCAGTCTTTCTAACAGAGGTCATTCATATGTATGTGTATACATACACACATACACACACATATATATGAGTTAGATTTTTTAGGATGCTATATAAGTGGCATTGTGTTTTTAATATCAAATTCCACTTTTTTTTTTTGTTTTTTTGCTACTGGTTTATGGGCTGTAGCTGACTCTCACATCTTACCCTTTCATCTTGTGATTTGCTATAATCACTTATTAGCTCTAGAGGTATTTTTAAAAATCATTTTTTTACATTTTCTCCATAGAAGACCCTCACCACATCTCTGATCTTGCCACAAAAGATCTTAATTTCCCACCCTCAATCACACGTTAAATATGTTGTCTGTGGGTATTGTGTAGTGGTTTTTTTTTTTCTTTCTAACCAAGTTAAAGACGTTATCCTGTATTTCTGGTTTTCTAGAATTTTTACATGAAGTAACTTTAATTATAATTAGTGAAGGATATGTCTGGGCCCAACCTGTCTGCCTCTGCATCTTTACCCACAAGGTGAACAACTTCGCACCATCACATCCCTCTGCTCCATCTGTCTCACCATGGAGAAGAAACAGTACGGCCAGTAGACATTGGATGAGGAGCCAAAAGGTACCTTTTCCTGGGTGTTTCATCCCAGCAAAGGAAAATGACTGAAACCATTGCTTTGGTCTTCCTAGCTCCAGTGAATACAGTGGTGGTTTTGTAGCCACGGATTCAGCCAACCACAGACGAAAAATGTTCAAGATTCTATCTGCCCTCAGCAGGTCCAGACTTTCCCTCTTTCATTGCTTAGTATGCAATAGAGTATGAAATCCATTTTTACACGACTTTTGTTAAGTAGTATGTCATCTAGAGCTGTCTTAGAGACTATTAGAAAATATAATTTTTTGTTTTTGTTTTGCAAATTCTACATGGTTTTCTTTAAAGACTGGAACACCCACAATTTTTTGGTATCCAAAGAAGGTTCTAGAACTAATTCCCCACCAGATATTGAAGCACAACTGTATTTGTTGACTGAATAAATGAGTGAATGTTGGTACTGCTGTCTGTCAATTAGCGTAACTTATATATTATATATATATTACATAGACATATATAATAATAATATATAGTTGTAATATGAGGTTGGGAATGATGTCTCAAATAAACTATGATCATTCATGTAATTATACACTCAACAAGTGATTAGAGGAGCTACAACGTGCTTGCTGGATACAAGACATAAAGGATACAGATAGGTTCTACCCCTCTTGAAGGGATTTTAGTCCAGTCATGAATGCAGACAACCAAGTAGGGAATGAAAATGAGACGGGATGCTTGCTTATAGAGAGACTCCTTGTAAATTACCATGTGCTTCTTCTGTTAATTCCAGAAGATCAACAGGGCCTGGGGATGTGGGCTCTGCTGCGGATGCCATATTCCTGCCGAGAGATTACGAGGATATGAGCTTCATGATTGTTTTTGGGGCCCATTGTCACCTCAAATTAAAACAGGAGTAAGAAATGTTATTCAGGTGTCACGCTTAAACCAAGCTCACGTGACTCTTAAGGTCGTTAGCTTATTTACAGGATGTAGGCATCTGCGGGCATCTGTGGCTACACAGTAAACCAAGCACTGCCCATTCACAAGCAGCACTGCCCCTGGCTCAGCCAGATGCTCCCTGTCTGTCTGAATTTAAACCCAATACGTCTATGAAAATGCAACCGCTCCCCCCTGTTCTCTCCCCAGACTTCTCTCTCCTGAGGGCTTCAGACCTGCAGTGACTAGCTCTCCATCTGGACTGTGGTAGACATGGCAAACAGCACAGAGCAGGGCATTGTTGCTCAGCTGACGCGCCTCTCTCTTTCAGCCCATCCCCCAGCAGCACATCTGTGGCTACAATGGTCACATTTCACATTCGGACTCCGTCACAAGCATCATCACGGGCACTGAATATGCTCCCAAAGGACTGTAAACAAGGTCTGTTTAACAAGAAGTATCAAAATAATAATAAAAGAAAAGCTGTTGCCTTATTCTGTTTTCTTTTTCCTCCTAGTTTTGAATTCTTTACATAGCTTCATGGAAACTCTCTAGGTTTGTCAATCCTATCGACTTCCACCTAAATGTGCAAAAGGTTCCCTGGTTAGAGGCTATCGTGTCTGTGTGGAAGAAGATTCACTCCCTTCAGCATGTCCGCCATGGTGACCCTTGAACACCTGCTGTAGCTATGGGATAGAACAGTGTAAAGGATGTTTGCTATTGTGTCCTCAGCAAGAGGATTAGGAGTGACTGAGGGGGGGGGGCTGGAGCAAAGCTCAGCTCAGCTGTCAGGTGTCATCAAGGAGATTACAGATGGCAGAGAGGAGTTCAGGAGAGGGGGAGAGAGAGGTAAGTGCGCCCAGAAACCTCTCCCCGAGCATAGCTCAGATACAGGGTCTCCTTCCCCAACCACAGAACTTTCCAGGGTCTTCCTTGAAGACAAAATTGCCCTCACCTATGGTCTCTATGTCTTTCCTTACAGCTAGCACTTTGGAGTCCTTGGGGATGCATAACTCTCAGATTCTAGTCTTGAACACGTTGTTTAAGTAGGTGACACATCCTGCCTTCATGTTTATTGGTGCTCGTGTGTGTGTGTGTGTGTGTGTGTGTGTGTGTGTGTGTGTGTGTGTGCATGTGTGTGCACATGTGCACATGTGCTCAGAAGAGGCCTTTATACATAGAAGTGTCTCTTCTTGCTATGGGGTTACATCCTGGTAAACCAAGTATGAAGTTGAAAATCTCTCATGTGGTCAACTTGCCTTTAGCCAACTTGACCTCCCAACACTCAGGCTCAGGGGTGCAGCACATGCCAGTGTTGTGGCTCCCCCTTGTCCTCAGAGAATGGCAGAACTGTGGTCATTGCTGCTGCCTGGTGTCCCAAGAGAGGACCTGACCATATGGTGCTGGCCCCAGATAGGATCTAGTTTCAAATTCCTTGGAACTGTGGGTTTAGTTCAGAGGTAGAGCCCTTGCCTAGCATGCTGGAGAACTTGGGTCCATCCCCCATACTGTTAAAAAGAAACAAAACTCCAAGTTTTTCTTTTTTATCTATCTATCTATCTATCTATCTATCTATCTATCTATCTATCTATCTATCTATCTATCTATCTATCTATTTTCCGGAGCTGAGGACCAAACCCAGGGCCTTGTGCTTGCTAGGCAAGCGCTCTACCACTGAGCTAAAACCCCAAACCCCAAGTTCTGTTTTCTACCTTGTATATTGTTTTATACTTTCCTAAGTCAAAGATCTTAGGTTGAGCATGCCTAAGCCAGACACTGTCTACGTATTTTTTGTTGTTGTTGCAAGCATACAACAATGCAACTTACTTTTGTTTTAGTTAAGTAACCAGCCAATCTTGGTTTGCCAGGGACTTTTCCTGATTTTTTTTTTAAACAGCAAGTCCTATGCCATGGGAAACCCCTATTTTTAGCAAACAGGAGTAGTGGGCTATTGTATCTATCAAGGACATGCACAAAATATCCCCGTGTTTTATTGGGCTCTGTCTGCTGCTGACTGGTGAACCCCTGGATGGGACAGCCAACCTCACACACAATGGACAGGTGTTCTTTAGTGGTTGGAGAGCTTCCCTCTCTAGGGTGGACATGGACTGTTCTGAGTCCCCAGCTCTCAGAGTCACTTTGGGACAGAAACATCATTGCTAGAACATGGCTGAGCTGAAGGTTAGTCCAAGGCTGTAGAGCTGGTCCTACTGTGCATGAATCTGAGCTCTTCCCGCAGTTACAAAAACCAAGGGCCCAAGCTCAGGGTCTCCCCTTCATTTCCCAGCACTCCTGGGAAGAGCAGAGCCAGTGTGCCTCAACTTGCTCAGATGTTACAGTGGGACTCCCCTCCTCATATTTCTGGGAGGATTAAATCATGATAGGTACAAATCCCTAGCAAGATGCTTGACATACAGAGTAAGCAGTCTATCTATTATTTATTACATGTATGGAAACATCACACTCTACCCCATTAAAGTGTGCAACTACTATCAATTAAAAGTTTTTAATTAAAAAACATTAGCTACTGTTGTTACTGTTAGTCCCAACTGGGATATTTGGAAATGCTTCTTGGATTTTGTAATATTGTTAGAAATTGAATTATTATTAAAGGAGATAAAATGAAGAGGACAAAAGATCATACTAGAAGAAGTCTAACATTTGGATTGGCATTTTTAAGATTCAGTAATAGAAGAAATAAATTCTGAAGGCGGAAGTGATTTGGGTTTAATGATTTGAAAAGGAAGTGGAAATATTTCCTAAAGAGCCATCGACACAGAGGGAAGACCAGAGTCATCCCCATGCTGTTAGATTTGACAGGCTTTTCTGACAATACAGAGATGGATGAATCTCTGGGCAATGATTTGGTGTCGCTTAAAGGTTAACCCGTGAGTGTCTTGCACTGTGCAGTGTGAGGTTAGAAGAGGAGGACATGGACTGGTGTGAACTTCACTAACTAGAGCCTGTTACAGGGGCCATCTCTGCATGGCAGTGTTGCTAATCCTTAAGTGTTCATTAAAACAAGGATCAGACTGGACCTTGTAGAATAAAGAACGAGTGGGTGTGCATTACTTTTGATAGTCAGCCCTAGGCTGTAAAACGGAAGTGTGGACGGTTTAGTGTCAAGGTGTTGCAGTTTTTGTATTTCAAACACTGAGTTTGGTTAAGGAAAGTCACTCACTCCCTCTGCCACATTTTTTTTTTAAAGAAACACACACACATGTGCACACCCACAAATTTGTTGCCTGGTTTGAACATCCTAATGAAAAGGGATACATGTGGATACATGTGCCACTGGGTTGTAATTACCTATTCATTCTGGGACTAGACAGAGCTGGACCAAGAGCAGATTAAAGTGAGCGGACTCCATTAGCTTCATTAGAGCTCCAAATTAGATTTTTTTTTTCAGCTACAATTTTCATCTGAACAGGGCCAGCAGCTGTTGCCCAGACCCAGGCCTCAAAGGAGGTGCTCCCTGAACTGCTGTGGCTGAGTCCCTGCCCCTCCCAGGCTGACCTCCGGGGAGGACTTTAGAAAGCTCCTGGGGCTATGTCCTATGGTCCCAGCTTCCGTGGACCCATGTAGCCACTTAAAACATTATTTCCAGGCACCCGGCACCCCCGACCCCGGCACTGACTTTCTCTGCTTTTACTTGAATGTATGCTGGGCTCTGCACAGCACCAGCTATAAAATCTGCTAGGCTAGGTCTAGTGCAAAATACGAATGCAAGGCCCTTGTTCAAAAGGTATTAAGCATTTCAAAACACAACAGCAGGACATCGGTCCACTTCTGACCCTGGGCAACTTGACATCTGCAGTGAAGCCAGCCTGGCTTTCAGTCTGAACCATAATTACCATCTACACTGTGGTCATTATGGTGAGGCACACCTGTGCACAGACGAGAGGGTCGTTACCGGGTGAGGTCCTTTCTGCTTACCTAGATGTGATTAGACAGTATGATGTAGCTCACAAAAACAGTCACTCACAGAAAGAGATGTACTATTGCTAACCAAAGACTCGAAAAAGGCACACCAGCCTAGGATTGCAACATCACTCAGTCATGAAGACATAAACACCAGTCACAGGGTTCTAGAAACCTCAAAGTGCAGAACTGTGGTCTGGTGCCACACTGGAAGATGAAGACACACGTAAACTCAGGGCAGAAACAGAAATACTCATGGAAGATTGGTCTCAGCAACAGCAGATTCTGTTATTGGACAACACCATATCGAGTGGAGTAACAGATTACCCAGACAGGCAAGGTCTGGGTAATCTGCAACATTCTTAAACCAATTATGTTGTCAGGGTAGCAGCATGTCCCCAAAACTTTTGAGGTCTACAGAGCAGTGACATGAGCTTCCTCTGGACAACTTTCCTGCTTGTCCTTCTTCCTCTAGTCCCCAGCTGTAAGCTTTCTTCCAAGCTGAGCCCTGTGTGCCCTCTCCTTCTGTCCCTGTTCGCTGGTTCTCCGGCATTCTCCAGAGTCCATGCTTCTCCATTGTTTTGACTGCTGTCTCTAAAGAGAATATTCAGGAAGACGTCTCTCCCAACCTTCCTGAGTTAGGAGTGTGTCTCCACCTGTCTCCAGGGCACATCTACTCTTGTAGATGAAAGCCAATCAGAAACAAAGAGACTCCTGACTGTCCGAGTCACCGACTCCCAGCATCCTTCAGCTCCCTGTCCTTCGTCCCCAGAGAGTGATAGACCAGGTATCATTTACAGCTTCCTTCACATGTCTTGCTCTATGTCGAATCTTCCCTTCTAGAATCTGCTTCTTTATGTAAGTTTTCTCTCACAACCCAAAGCATCACTCACAACTTCAGAACACATGTCCTACCTTCTGTCCCCCTGTCCTGTCCCACAGGCCAGTACTGGGTCTAGAAAGGCCTGGTTCCCATAGTGTAGCCCCTTCCATCCTCCATGGCTGCTCTAAGGAAGCACCCATGGCCATCACACCTACAGGGGCTCAAGTCCCTCTGCATGGCCCTCTGAACTGTCACTCCTTGTGTCATG